AAGAAGGGTATTATTTTTATTATGAATGTAGGGGCTATTTGTATATAAGGTAAGCTCATAACACAAATCTCTGTTTTCTTGTATATAAAACTTGGCTCTGTGAAATTTCATTTTAAATTCTAGTTCTTGTACTGCTCTTTCTTGGTAAGAAATTCTAATCAACAGCATGAGCAAATCTTTTTCTATATATGTAAGGTTTTTATCTTAGCAACTAGAATGGCTTGCATAGCTGCTTAAACACGTAAACACCAGGGCATTGCATTCTGTATGTATATGAATATGCACTAGATTTTTGAGTGGCAAAATTCTCTTTAGTGGGTGTGAGATCTCAACCTAAGTATTGTTACATATCAGATTCCAGTAATAGTGTCTAATTAACTAAAGGAAAACTAATGCTTTTCATTTGTGATGGTCTTTTCTTTCATGATAGGCTTTGGACTTTTATTGGCATTGGAACAGACTGAAACCCATTTCAGGCCTATCAGTGGTTCACCTGTATTCATGGCACCCTATTCTAAATTTGCCAAATATTTTTGCTTTGTTTATTTGTTGTTCTGCTTGTGACATTCTCATTCACTCTAGACAGAGACTTCTTTTTTCTTCTTCTGTGGAATGAAGCAGGCTCTTAAAGAGCTTATACTAAATTGAGTAACAGGAAATTATCTGAAGGTTGGATTTAGGGTTTTTTTGGTCATTTCTTTTTTGGCAGAACTTTATGTATATGCCTAACTACAGTTATAAAAGTCTAAATTTATATATTGTTCATTTACTGATGAATTAACCATATTTATTATAGACTGGACATATGCTAGAAATGAAAATAGAAAAATGGGATAATTGGTCAGGATCCAATCTACTTGTGGAGACAGGTATAAAACAAATAATTAGAATATGCTTAGGCATTTGTGTTATATTATATAGATAGATGTAAGAAAGGAGGTAAATATGATATGAGTATATGGATCGGTGAGAGAATGGAGGTGTGTGTGTGTGTGTGTGTAATATATATAAGTGTGATGGAGTACAGACAGTGATCATCTTATTTTCAGGGGAATAAGAGCAAGAGAGTCTTCCCAAAGGAGATAACATTTTTGTTGCTTTTTGAAAACTCTGTAGTGTAAACCTGCTAATTCTAGTATTAGCTCGAGAAGAATATGATTACCTTACCCATTTTTGATGAAAATGAAGTAAACCTGCTTCATTTTTCTATATGGAACTTATGGCCACCCTACATCATATGTTCATGTTACTAATTAATTATTCTCTGTCTACTAGGATGTAAACACTTTGAGGGTGGGAATTTTTGTCTGTTGTGATTATATCTTCAGTACCTAGAAAAATGATGTATAGCAGGAGCTCAAATATATGTTGAATGTCTGTGAGTTCTAGAATAATTGCCTTATTTATTATGTTTTCTGTAGTTTATTAAGAGTATCTCGCCCTGGCTGTTGTAGCTCAGTGGATTGAGTGCTGGCCTACAAACCAAAGGGTTGCCAGTTTGATTCCCAGTCTAGGTCACATGCCTGGGTTGCAGGCCAGGTCCCCAGCAGGGGGCACACGAGAGGCAACCACACATTGATGTTTCTCTCCCTCTTTTTCCCCTCCCTCTCCTTTTCTAAAGAAAAAGGATATCTTTGCCCAGCCAGTGTGGCTCACTTGGTTGAGTGTCATCCTGAAAATCAAAAGGTCACTGGTTCGGTTCCTGGTCAGGGCACATGCCTGGATTGCAGGTTTAGTCCCTGGTTGAGGTGCACAGGTCGATGTTTTTCTCACATCAGTATTTCTCTCTCTTTCTCCCTCCCACCTTCTTTAAAGTAAAACATTCTTTAAAGAAGAATCTCTCTACAACACCTTCATATTTTTGCTTTGTACTTTTCATTATGTGTATTTGAGTCTACCTGTTGATCAGATGCTATTTCCATAGTGTTTCTCAAATTCCCTTGTTTCCACTTCTCTTGGTTCATTTTCTCTCCAAAATCTCTTACCTGAATTGATATAGTCTTCTTATTGTTTTCCATGACTCTATGCAAGTCCTCTTAAATTTCTTCTTTATAGCAAGCAGAAATATCTATATAAAATACAGAACTGACCCGATCATTTCTTTGCTTAAAAGTTCCTAATCCATCTGTCTAGAATAGAATTTTTACTCTTTAGGATGTCTCACAACCCCATCAGAGCTTTGCATTCAACTACATAATTGGGAGTTCTCTTACCATTTTATAATGTAATAAAAATGGGTCTTGTCATTTTTCTTTGTATCATTAATGTCTGGCATGTAACAGAATTCAGAATATACTTTTTTGAGTATATGAATGCATATTAATATGAAGGAATAACTACAATGAGAAATTTCTTTAACAGAAATAAACTTTACTTTTTATTTTTTACTATTATTATTCCTCTTTATTAATTTCAAGTATATTTTATTGATTATGCTATTACAGTAGTCCCATTGTTTTCTCCCTTTTATTCCCCTTTGCCCTGTACCCTCCTCCCACTGGCAAATCTCCCCCCACCCTTAGTTCATGTCTGTGGGTCGTACATATAAGTTATTTGGCTTCTCCATTTCATATACTATTCTTATCTTCCCCCTGTTTTGTACCTACCATTTATGCTTCTTATTCCCTGCATCTTTTTCCCCATTCTCCCCCACTCCCTCTCCATGATAACCCTCCATGTGATCTCCATATCTGTGATTCCCTTCCTATTCTAGTTGTTTGCTTAGTTCTTGTATTTTTTTCTAGGCTCAGTTGTTGACAGTTATGAGTTGTCATTTTACTGTTCATAGCTTTGATCTTCTTCTTTTTCTTAGATTAGTCCCTATAACATTTCATATAATAAGGGCTTGGTGATGGTGAACTCCTTTAATTTTGGCTTATCTGGGAAGCACTTTATCTGGCCTTCCATTCTAAATGATAGCTTTGATGGATAGAGTGATCTTGGATGTAGGTCCTTGCCTTTTATGACTTTGAATATTTCTCTCCAGCCCCTTTGAATATTTCTCTCCAGCCCTTCTTGCCTGTAAGGTTTCTTTTGAGAAATCAACTGGCAGTCTTAAGGGAACTCCTTTGTAGGTAGGTGCCTGTCTCCTTCTCTTTTGCTGCTTTCAAGATTCTCTCCTTATCTTCAACATTGGGTAGTATAATTATGATGTACCTTGGTGTGTGCTTTCTTGGGTCCAACCTCTTTGGGACTCTCTGAGCTTCCTGGACTTCCTGGTAGTCTAATTCTTTTGCCAGATTAAGGAAGTTTTCCTTCATTAGCTTTTTTAATAAAATTTTAAAAGATTTTGTTTATTTATTTTTAGAGAGAGGGGAAGGGAGGGAAAAGAGATGGAGAGAAACATCAATGAATGGTTGCCTCTTGAGCGCCCCCAACTGGGGACCTGGCCCGCAACCCAGACATGTGCTCTGACTGGGATCAAACTGGCAATCCTTTGGTACACAGGCTGGCACTCAATCACCTGAGCTATACCAGTCAGGGCATTATTTATTCAAATAAGTTTTCAATTTCTTGCTCTTCCTCTTCTCCTTCTAGCAACCCTGATTCAGATGTTGGAACATTTAAAGTTGTCCCAGAGGTTCCTAAGCCTCTCCTAATTTTTTTGAATTCTTGTTTCTTCATTCTGTTCTTGTTGAATGTTTATTTCTTCCTTCTCCTCCAAATTGTTGCTTTGAGTCCTGGTTTCCTTCCCTTCACCGTTGGTTCCCTGTATATTTTTCTTTATTTCACCTTCCATAGCTTCCACTTTTTCCTCTCTCTTGTTACCATACTCAACCGTTTCTTTGAGCATCCAGATTACCAATGTTTTGAACTCTGCATCTGATAGGTTGGCCATCTCTTTGTCGTTCAGTTCTTTCCTTGGAGTTTTGATCTGTTCTTCCCTTTGGGCCATACTTCTTTGTCTCTAGGCACCTGTGATATTGTAAGGGGTGGCACCTTGGGTATTCACCAGGGCGGAGCAGCCCACTTCGCTGAGTTGTGGCATTGTATGTAGAGGAGGGGTCCAAGAGGGAACAATACCACTTGCTCGGCTCTCGGCTGTCTTTCAGTCACTTCCTCTGCTACGCACAAGCAAACTGGGCCCTTCTGGTGCTGATTCCTGGGTGGGTGGGTTTGTTTATGTTCTAGGACCCTGTGGGTCTCTCTAGTGAACACTCCTGTGAAACTGGGAGTGTATCCCACTGCTGCAACCCCCACAGGTTTTTACAGCCAGAGGATTTGAGGCTTTCTTTTTCTGCACTGGAACCCTAGGTTGCGTGATCTGTCTTGCTTCCCTGTTGTTCCTCCCAGTTTATCCGCACACAAATGTGGGACTCCCAGCAGCCCTCTTTCCTGCCCAGTCCTCCAGCTGCTGCCTTGCCACAGGTCCTCTCTGCCCATCCTACCAGAATGGATGAATATTTCTTTAACTCCTTGGTTGTGGTTGTTGAACTTCCATAACAGTTTGATTTTCTGACAGTTTTGGTTGTTTTTTGTTTTTAAATTTGTTGTCCTTCTTTTAGTTGTGCGAGGAGGCAAAGTTTATCTACCTATGCCTCTATCTTGGCTGGAAGTCTACAATGAGTAATTTTATTGAAAATGCTTGTTGCCCTGGCCAATGTGGCTCAGATATTTGGAGCATTGTCCCATAACAAAAACGTTGAGGGTTCGATTCCTGGTCAGGGCACATACCTAGGTTTGGGTTTGATCCCAGTCCAGGTGCATATGACCCCCAGTCTGGGCATGTACAGGAGGCAACCAGTCGAAGTTTCTGTTTGGGTCAATGTTTTTCCTTTTCCCCCACTCTCTAAAAGCAATGAAAAAATGTCCTCAGGTAAGAATAAAAAAATAAAAAAGAAAATGCTTTCTGTTAAGATAAAAAATGATAAAAAAATCAAACTTAACACTAGTATTTAAGAAGACCTTTTCGTTTATATAGCTGATTTGTTTTTTGTACTGTCTAGCTGTATTTATTTTAATTCATTTTTTATTCCTTAATTGTATATGTATGCTCACAGATTGAAAATCTTCAAGAGCAACTTAGAGATAAGGAAAAGCAGATGAGCAGCTTAAAAGAACGAGTCAAATCCTTGCAAGCTGATACCACCAACACTGACACTGCCTTGACGACTTTGGAGGAGGCCCTGGCAGAGAAAGTGAGTGATTGGTCCAGCCTATTCCCAGACACATTTCTTCTGCTTTCTCATTAATCTAATGCTTTTTTCTAGTGATGAGACTTGGATATAGAAAACAGAAAAAAAAAATCTCTTTGGGCACAAAGGAAAAAGAGCTCCCTGTACTGTTGCTGACACACTTAGTATAAGAGAAAAGAAAATCCGTTTCATCATTGCCAGTTTAAGTATCTGTTGCTAGGCAAGATGGATTCTACATTAAAGGGCAGTGGCTAAAGTTTCTAGAATTAGCTATAAGTTTCCCATTTATAATCTTGTGAAGAAAAAAAGAAGTTCTTTTTATTTACATGGTCAGCTAGAATTTGGGGATGTGAGAATGTCAGACACTGACCATTAGGAAAGCAATATATAATTAGTTCTCCTTTACTATGCTGTATTGGTACTTAATACATTTATGGGTTTTAATTATTAATACAGTGAATGTACTTGCTGCTTTTCTAATATTGGCCTTGGTGCTGTATTTTGCCTTTATGAGCAAATTGAGGTTTTCAGTAATGGTTGACTAAATAAAAAAAGAATCAAATCTTGATTACTGAATATATTCACAAATAATACCAAGAAATATACTTAAATTACATAATTTTCAAACTTCCTGTGTATCTGTTGACAAAAAGCTTTAATAGGTTTTCTTTTCTTTATGTTCTTTATGTTTTAAACTCAATATATCATAATCTCCTGAACCTCACCACCCCTTTTTGGTGTGTGAATTGTGGGTTGTTTCTATTGCCTGTAGATAACATATAAATTATATAGAGAGAACAAATATTTGTTACTTATTGTTGTAGGGTGTGTGCATATGTGTGCTTTGTTACTTGGGAGTTGAATAAATGGGATTATTCCAAAAGAATACGTACTTGAGGGATTTTTAATAGTCGTTGAGATTGTGAAAAGAAACCTGAAGGAATCAATAACAAAGCCTGATATTTGTTATAGCAAGATAGATAGGAAGGATGAATTCTTCAAAAAGTAAACTATCGACAGCTTATCACTGTCTTTTGAATGGAGGATGGAAGTGTGAAATTTTATGAGCTAAATCTTGAATTATAGTCATATGATACAAGTATAAAAGGAATTTTCTCATTTATTGATTGTCTCACCAGGAACGGACAATTGAACGCTTAAAGGAGCAGCGGGACAGAGATGAGCGAGAGAAGCAAGAGGAAATTGATAACTACAAAAAAGATCTTAAAGACCTGAAAGAAAAAGTCAGCCTATTGCAAGGCGACCTCTCAGAGAAAGAGGTTAAGATCACCAAAATGGAATTTTTTGTTTGCTTAGTCAGTGCATTGTATGTAAATGTTGTTGGTGTTTACATAATGCATATCAAAAAGTATTTAATGAACAATTTTCTTTATTTTATTTTTTAAAAAATTTTTCCAAATACATTTGTCTCTGCCTTCCCCCCACCCATTTTCTTAATATTCTTATAGCAGGCCTTTTGGGAAGACCTTAAGGTATATTTAAGGAAGCTTTTCAGAGACACAGGAGATTGGATCATTTATTTCCTATATCTTTGTGTTATAAATTAATTTCTCACTTGTTAATGACATTTTTGAAGATCCTAAAATAACTGAAGACCATTTACATTTGAAGAAGTGTGCTAATAGTAAGAAAGGTGATGGAGGAAAGGAATATGCAGAAGAACAATTTATTTATAACAGCTCTTAAAGTGCATCTTACCACTGGCAGAGAAATCTTAAATGTTGACTAATTAAGTGTCTTACTTTGGGTCACTTTTGGGAATTCTATTAATGTCTACTTTCGTCTTACTTTGGGGAATTCTACTAATGTGACCTAAATAGCAAAAATGACTATTGCCTTGTGATCAGATAGTAATGCATGAGATTTAGGGACATCCTCAGGAATTTTTTTTCTAATATCTTTAAGAAAATTTATGGAAACAAATTTCTAGTAGAATTTTTCTTCTAAAAGGGAAAAGGTTTTATAGTATTTAAGTCAGTGTAACTACTGAGGTTGACTTCTTACATTCACAAAGGTTGATCTACTTCACAGTTATTTTGTGGGAATGGATGTATATTGATTGAACTCATTAAATCATTATTCAATTGGTATTTCTTGGGAATTCATCTTACTTTAGTTAGGACTTGAACACTAAAGTTAATATTTTATTTTTCATGTTCTTGAAATCGAAATAAAGTGAGTATATGATAGTGGAAAGAAACTACAAGCCACTAAGAAAATAATTTAAAAGATTTAAATCTCCATTTTGTTTATAGTTAGTATTTATTCTGGATGTGTTGCTTTTAGGCTTCACTCTTGGATCTGAAAGAGCATGCTTCTTCCCTGGCTTCCTCAGGACTGAAAAAAGACTCCCGGTTAAAGACATTAGAGATTGCTTTGGAGCAGAAGAAGGAGGAATGTCTGAAAATGGAATCACAGTTGAAAAAGGTTAAAGAAAAATTTTGTTTTCTTGCTTTGCTTTAAATAAGAACATAGTAGAAAACTGTACAATGTGTATAATGTGATAATCCCCTAAAGTTCAAAATACCATTTTTTACCTTCATTAATTCTCTTAGAATTCTTATCTTAGTTTTGTTTATTTTACTCCTGCGAATCCCCAAACTCTTAGAAAATTGACAGTTCAGAAGATGATTAAAATATACATGGATGAAATATAAAACCACAGTGTATTAATTAATCTCAGTTATCTGATATTTTTGTTCCATTAACATCAGGCTTCCAAGAAGGAGATAATGTAACAGTGATAGTGGCTCACATTGGTGAATATTAGGATATGGTTTAGATATTTACTATTCATTTCTTTGATTTTTGCCTCTCTAATATTTATATGTTTAGTTTTCAAAGCACTTTCCTAACTTCTAAGAACTTGAACTGAAACTTGTGAACGTTATACTAGCTATGTCCAGTTCATATGAATACTAATGAAAGAAGGGTACAGCCTGCTCTTAAGATTTCAGGTTTTGTTCTTTTCATTTATTGGGTATATTCAATATAATACACTCATATTGAATCATCATGTAGAGTATACCAAAAGTAAAATCATATTCTTAAGCTAAAGAAAGGAAAAAAATCAGTATCTTGAAGTTACTTTTGAGCGGTAGTAGTAAATTACTTTTTTTGAGATCAAGGATTCTGGTTATAACCAGTTCAGATTTTGTAGCTGTTTCCCCCCCCCCGCCCCCCCTTCACTAAAAAGGCAGAGGTGATTTTTTTATGTAATACCTGAATATGAAAGATAAAACTGTGATGTATTTAGGATTAGTAAAACTGAGCAGTAAATATCAAGAACAATGTGGTATTAACATTCCAAACATCTCTGTTTATGACAATCACACATTTTCTATTTCTTTATTTTTAATCTCCTTTACCATGATAGCTGGCCATTTATATCGTCTCATATAGTTTAGGCTTAATAATTAGGTTCATGAGAAAAATAAAGTTCTCTTTGGGTAGAAGAAGTTAATGGCTTTCCCCACTTCGATATTATCTGTTTTTCTACCCATGGGCATTTTTCATTTCATAGTTCTAGAAGGTGTTAACTTTTATTTTAATTAATGGCTGATGCTTTTCTATTGTACTGCTTCCACAATGCCTTTCTTCAAGAGGGAGATTGCTATTGTTGTTTTGTATTTGTTTTATTTGTTCTTCATCTCTTTTTCACCTCTTTTCTGCCTTCTCTGTTTTAATTGAACATTTTATATGATTTTATTTCTCTGCTCTTATATCAGTTGTATTTCTTAAATTAAAAAAAAAGATTGCCATAGAGCAGTGATTTTCAACCTTTTTCATGTCATGTCATGTCATGGCACATGTAAACTAATCACTAAAATTCTGCAGCAAACCAAAAAATATGTTTTTTGCTGATGTGACAAAAAGTAGCTATAATTTTATTCATTCACGTTGGGCTGCTGTTGTTGTGTTGGCTGTTGTCATTTTTTAATGTGATAATCTAAGGGGAAAGAGGTCAGTGCCCCTGACTATTTAGTCAGGTATTGCATGTTTTAAAAATTCTTGCAACATATGGGTTGAAAATCACTGCCCTAGAGTATATATTTGTGACTCTTTTTTCATCTTTGTTAAGATATAATTGACAAAAAGTACATTCAAGGTGTACATGATGATTTGATACATGTATACACTGTGAAATGATTACTGCAGTCAAGCTAACTGTCATATCCACCGTCTTATATACTTGCCTTTTTTAATGTGGTAAGAACACTTTTTTAAAAACAATGAGATCAGTAGCCTTATAACATCATATTAGTTTCAGCTGCACAAAATGATTTGATGTTGGTCTAAATGTGAAATGGTCACCACAATAAGACTAGTTACCATCTGTCTCCACACATAACTACAAGTTACTTTTTTTCTTGTGATGCGAATCATAAGATCTACTATTTAGCGACTTTCAAATATGTAATACAGAATTATCATCTATAGTCACCATACTGTACATTATATTCTCAAGACTTACTTATTTTATAAGTACAAGTTTGCACCTATTGCCCCCTTCACTCAATCTGCACTTCTCTTTCTTCCGCTCCCACCACATTTGGCAACCACCAGTAGGTTCTCTGTTTCAGCGATTTTCCACTGGTATGCAGGGGCAGGCACACTGGTGTGCATAAGAATTTTTCGCTATCCTACACATTAGGCCACCAGAACTTAATTGATCTTATAACTGAAAGTTTGTACCTTCTAATTTAACGTCTTTCTATTTTTCCCATTCCCAGACCCTGTCAATTACCATTCCACACTGCTGCTTTGAGTTCAGTCTTTTAGATTTCAAGTATCAGTGAGATTACACAGTATTTGTCTTTCTGTGTCTGGCTTATTTTATTTAGCCTAATGTCTTCTGGGTTCATCCATGTTGTTATAGATGGCAGAATTTTCTTCATTTTTCTTATGGCTGAATAATATTCTTTTCCGTCCCAGGCCCATCCCAGCCTCATCCCAGCCTCAACTGCCCTCATTTTAGGCAGCCACTAACTCGTTCTCTGTATATAAGTCTGGTTTTGTTTTATGTTTATTTGCTTGTGTTTCGTCTTTTTTTGTTTGTTTTGGATTCCACATAGAAATGAAATCATGCAGTATTTGTCTTTTTCTCTCCGACTTATTTCACTTAGCATAATATTCCAGGTCTATTCATAGTGTTGCAAATAGCAATATTTTATTCTTTTTTATGGCTGGGTAGTATTCCTTTGTGTATGTGTGTGTGTGTGCGCATGCGTGCACCATTTCTTCTTTATCTATTTGTCCACTTATGGACACTTAGATTGTTGTCATGTCTTGGCTATTGTGAATAATGCTGCAGTGAGCATAGATTTGCATTATTTTTTTTGAATTACTGTCTTTGTTTTCTTTGGATAGATGCCAACAAGTGGAATTGCTAGATCATATGGTGGTTCTATTTGTAATTTCCTTAGGCATCTTCATACTCTTTTAAATGGTGGCTTACCAGTTCACATTCCCACCAGCAGTGCACAAGGGAGCCTTTTTCTTTACATCCTTGCCACCACTTGTTATTTCTTGTCTTTTTGATAATAACTGTTCTGATAGGTGTGAGGTGATATGTCATTGTGGTTTTGACTTGTATTTCCCTAATTATTTAATGATATTGAGCATCTTTTTATGTGCCAGTTGACCATCTGTATGTCCTCTCTGGTGAAAGGTCTATTTAGAACACCCATTTTTGAATGAAATGTTTTTTTGTTATTGAGTTGTGCATGTTTTTTATTTTTTTTATTTAACCGCTTATTAGATAAAAGGTTTGCAAGTATCTTATCCCATTCAGCAGTTTATCTTTCATTTTGTTGATTATTTTCTTTGATGTGCAGAAGTGTTTTAGTGTGATGTATTCCCACTTGTTTATTTTTGCTTTTGTTGCTGTTGCCTTTGGAATCAGATCCCCCCCCAAAATCATTACTAATATTGATGCCAAGGAGTTTACCACCTATGTTTTCTTCTAGCACTTTCAGATATTGCCTTCAGATCTTTAATCCATTTTGAGTTAATTATTAATGTGGTGTAAGAGAGTGGTCCAGTTTAATTTGTTTGCATGTAACAGTTCAGCTATCCCAATATCATTTATTGAAGTGACTGTCCTTTTCCCAAGGCATAGTCTTGACTTCTTTGTTGTATAGTAATTGATTGTATATGCATGGGTTAATATCTGGACTCTCTGTTATGTTCTACTGATCTATATGTCTCTTTTTATATCAATATCATATTGTTTTGAGTGCTATAGCTTTAGAGTATTATTTGATTTAAATTTAAAAAAAGTAATGAACAACTAGGAATAAAATTGAAGAAATGCAACAAAAGTGCCAATATCAATGACATCCAAGCAAATATTAATAAAGGTGGAATGAGAATAAGGATATTATAAGAAAGGGAAAAAGAATGAGAGGTGACTAATGGAAAGAAAGATGGTTTGGAGAGAATGGAGGGGTGTAGAATGGAAACAAGGTGTAGAAAGGGAAAACAAAACAAAATCTAAAACAAAAATAAGAAAGAGAAGGTTGAAGGCAAAATGGAGTAAGTGAAGGGAAGAGTAAAATATGAGATTTGAAATAAAACTAAAACAAAAATAATTATATAAAAATAAAAATAATGAAATAATAGGAACAAAATTTAAGACAGAAACAATGTTAAAAAGTTATGCACGAGAAAAATAACAAATAATGGAAAAGAACAAGGTGGTATTCATTTCTGCGGAATCTATTTGTTTGCCTACTTTTTTCTCCTTCTGGGCCTGTCCCTGGTAATATCAGCTGGTTTCCCAGTCTAGCTTTAGGCAGCCTGTTTGAGGCTACAAGTTATCCACAGTCTGTGCTTGTCTCCTTCAGGTTTGACTGGTCCTCGCTATTATGCCTTGCTGTCCTTTTATCAGCAGAAGGCCTAGGGGTGGGTTTGTTTAAAGTCTGACAGCACTGCATGTACCACCTGCCTCTAGAGGGGACTTCCGTTGTAATCAGGAGGGTGTAATTCCTGGTTCTCTCCTGGGATGTTCTGTTCAGTCTTCAGGGAAGGTGGTGGATGTGTCCTCCCACCCCTGCACCACACATCTTGGTCTGTCCCAGATTATTTCCAATAATGTGTAGTTTCTGATGAATTAGCTGTTTCATGTGAGGGGCCAATTTGTATAAGTGGATCAGCTCTTTCCTGCTTGGTGCTAATGGCAGCTCTGTGTGAGAGCCAAGGCTGGGCAGGGCCCTGAATACCTCTTGCTGTGGCAATTTTTAATCTCTCTGCTCAACTGTTTTCAGTGGAATAGGGCCCAAGGAGGAGCTAGCATTGTGTATGGTAAAAGTTCATAAAGGGCTCCTTTGGAGATTCTCTTTCTTTCGCCTGTGGATATGCGCCTGTCAAGGGGTTATTGAGCCTTGCCTTACTGTTCTGTGGAGTTTGCAGTCCTGCAAGTGGGGATTGGGTATGCATCCGCCTTCCCAGAGGTTTGTACTCCGAGATGTGAGTGGCTCTTGCCTGGCTGCAAAGAATCTCAGGTGCTCAGCTGTTGCCCATCCAGCCCTAGTTCACTGCTCTTGCAAGAGGCTCAGACCCACACCCTCTGTTTTGCATGCATCCATGCTGGGTGGGGCCCCATAACCCCTTCTCCCTGCAGCCTTCTACTCTTCTTGGTTAGCTGGACTCAGTGGCCACAAACTGCACTTTCAATCTGGCCTCTTTGCTGGCAGTGCCCCTGCACACACATGTGGGGTCCTTGCCCAGCCATGCCTCAGCTCCCCTCTTTAAAAAAGTCCCTGTGTAGCACCCACACTGCAGCATGGAGCCAGTGTCTGGCTCTACACGTACTTCACCTCTCCCAAAAGGCAAAAAGTCTCTCTCGGTCGGGGTTGGCCACAGCCTGCCGGTGCCTCCAACAGTTTTAGTAGATAGAATTCCTCTCTTGACTTCTCCCGGTTGGTGCTGCAGCTATGGACGTGCTACACTCTGTGTGTGTACAGCCTGAGTGTCCCAGATTCGGTATATCCTCCCAAGTCTCTCCCAGTTAGGGTTGGGGGCTCCCTGTGCAGGACTCGGGGTCCCCTGCTCAGGAAGGGGTGGGAGCTCCTAAGCTGCATTTTCTGTCTGTTCTCTCCTCTTCTGCAGACACCTCACACAGGGTATTTCCCCTTCAACTCATAAAATCTCTCACTGGACGGTGCAAAGCATCCTCTCTACTCCTTTGCTTCAAAAATTAATATCAGCTAAAATTCTGTTGATTGTTCAGGTCTCTTATTAGAAGGTATGCTGAAAATCCATGCTAGGGGGGCACGAGCATGTGGGCTCAGCTTTCACCTAGTTGGCCTCCATCTTCTAACTCTAGATTTTCTGGCCAGCAAGTCTTACCTGGAAACTCCAGGGAAGACCAGGAGCTAGTGCTAGTTTCTGTCCCTGCTCTTCTCCCCCAGCGGACTGTTCGAAGGCTCACATATCCTCTCACTGTCTCTGTTCTTGGAGGGGCAGCCTGCAATACAAAAGGGCTGTGTGGGGGTCAGTGTGTGAGAAGCGTGGTCCCAGCTGGCCATCCCCACCTTACACACACCGCTTTGGGGTGCTTAGCCTCCCCTTCAGCTGAGCACCACCCTTGGGGGCTTGCCTGGCTGCAGCCTCAAGTTGCCACTGCTCAGTACTGCTGGCTGCTGCTGCTGCAGAAGGTGGAAAACACTGGGGTTAGTTCTTGGTCTAGAGCATCCCTAACACTGCCTGTAGTATAGTTTGAAATCAGGGAGCAGGATAACCTCTGGCTTTGTTCTTTTGTGTCAAGGTAACTTTGCCTATTTGGGAGCTTTTGTGGTTCCATATAAATTTTAGAGGAGTTCTAGTTCTATGAAAAATGTCATTGGAATTTTGATAGGGATTGCATTGAACAGTATTAATTCTTCTAATCAATGACCATGGAATATCTTTCCATTTACTTTTGTCTTCAGATTTCTTCATCGGTGTCTTTAGTTTTCAGTGTTTAGGTCTTTCATCTTCTTTGTTAAATTTATCCCTAGGTGTTTTATTCTTTTTGATACAATTGTAAATGGGATTATTAATTTCTCTTTCTGGTAGTTTATCACATATAGTAATGGAACAGATTTTTGTATATGAATTTTGTATCCTGCAGTTTCACTTAATTCATTTCAATTTTTGGATGGAGTCTCTATAATTTTCTATGTATAATATGTCATCTACAAATAGTGACAGTTTGACTTTTTCTGTTTCAATTTGGATGCCTTTACTTTTTTTTCCTTGCCTAATGGCTGTGGCTTTGACTTCCAATACTATGTTGAATAAAAGTGGTGAAAGTGGGCGTTCTTGTCTTATTCCTGATTGGAGAGGAAAAGTTTTCAGCTTTTCACCATTGAGTATGATATTAGCTGTTGGTGTGTCCTATCTGGCCTTCATTTATTCAAGGTACATTTTGTCTGTACCCCCTTTGTTGAGGGTTTTTATCATAAATGGATGTTGAATTTTGTGAAATAGTTTTTCTGTATCTATTGAGATAATTATATGATTTTTATCTTTCTTTTTGTTAATGCAGTATATCACATTGATTGATATGCAGATGTTGAATCATCCTCATATCCCTGGAATAAATCCTGGTTGATCATGGTGAATGGTCCTTTTAATTTATTGTTGAATTTGATCTAATGTTTTGTTGAGAATTTTTGTGTCTATGTTAATCAGAATTATTTGTATTTTAGTTTTATGGTATTCTTGTCTGGTTTTGATACCAGGGTAATGCTAACCTTGTGAAATGAGATTGGAAGTGTTCCTTCCCCTTCAGTTTTTTGGAAGAGTTTGAGAAGCATGGGTACTTAATCTTTGAATGTTTGGTAGATTCACTAGGGAAGCTTTCTGGTCCTGTACTTTTGTTTGTTGGGAGGTTTGTTATTGCTGATTCAATCTTCTTCTTAGTAAGCAGTCTATTCAGATTTTCTGTTTCTTCAGTGTTCAGTTTTAGAAAATTGTAAGTTTATAGGAATTTATTCATTTCCTCTTGGTTGTCTAATTTGTTGGTGAATAATTTTACATTGTAGTCTCATATGATCCTTCATATTTCTGTAGCATCAGTTGTAATTTCTCTTTCATTTTTGGTTTTACTTACTTGAGTACTCTTTTTTTTTTTTTCTTAGTAAGTCTAGGTAAAGGTTTGTCTATTTTGTTTATCTTTTCAAAGAACCAGCTCTTAGTTTTATTGATCTTTTCTATTGTCTTTTTAGTTTTGATTTCATTTATTTTTGATCTGATCTCTATTTTCTTCCTTCTAATAACTTTGGTTATATTCTTTCATTCTAGTTCCTTGAGGTGTAAAGGTAGATTTCATCTATAAGCATTTAAGAGGAGCAAAACTTTATAAATTGAAGACTAGCTATCAGATATCTGATGATATCTTATTGAAATTGACATATATACACACATACATACATACATGGTTTGCCCACTGTATGCATATCTGACAAAATTTGAATTGATATAATACCTTATTGAAATTGATAATATCTTATTGAAATATTTGTATGTCAGTTAGGATATTTGTCTCCATGGTTCGCCATTGTATGTATATCTGATAGAATTTGAACACTTTTCTTTGTAGGCACACGAGGCAACATTGGAAGCCAGAGCTAGTCCAGAGATGAGTGACCGAATACAGCAATTGGAGAGAGAGATTGCAAGGTGCAAAGATGAATCCAGCAAGGCCCAGGCAGAAGTTGACCGCCTCTTGGAAATTTTGAAGGAAGTAGAAAATGAGAAGAATGACAAAGATAAGAAGATTGCTGAGTTGGAAAGGTAAGGAAAGGGAAACTAAACAGGGCTTCACTATGTTCAAAAAGCTAAAATATTGTTTTAAAACTATGTATACTTTTGGGGGCATGCTTTTCAGTATACCTGCCTCTGTGAATTTAGGTTCATGAGTGCTTGATGGTACTTTATTATCTACTTTTTTCTAGGTCAGTGTAAATTCATTATTGCAGTCTTTAAAAGGCAACACGGAATGGGAGTAAATTGGGAAGCTATGGGCTTCAGCATTATTGGTTAGAAAGTATTCATTGACTAAGAAATTAAATTTTTCTACTGACAAATCAAGAGAGTACAAATAGCCACTTGCTCCTTAATTATTTATCTACCCAAGGAGCAAATGAGCCTCAAGTTCAAAGAGTAAATACCTTTTCATTGGTTTAGAGCTTTTTTTGTTGAGCTGATGTTTCTTTGGGCTATACATTTTTAGACTTTTACAACTTGAATTATAGAAAAGCATACTATTACACCAGTGTATAGGCCAAATTTAGAAGAAGGAAGACATTTTGAGGACAGTTTAGGAGACTTGGTTATGATATTTATGGAGCTCTGACTTTGAATTTTTCAAAATGAGCTGTGTTTCAACAGACCCAACCAGACAGCTCTCTTGGAATTTCTTTTGTCTATTTTTCTTATTAGACAATATTATACTAAAGATTAAGCATATGCCTCTTGGCCTCTTCTTTTATACCCACCATATAGTTAACATAAATTCACAAGTACATAGAAATAGTTCTTCTACTAGAACTTCATTAATCACACATATTTTTCTGAACAGAGAGACTGACAGTGACAGAATGAAATCACTAATATGTGTGGCTTCTTGGAGCCTGATTCTTATGAATATTTTTATTTTAAGGTTGGGAAGTATTAGACTGTTTCCATAAATTATTTATTCGTTTTAAACTTTTGGATTACTGGTAGACCTGATATTTTCCCCTAGAAATTATTTCTCTTGTTCTATATCGATAGAATTTTGATTTTCAACAAACAAACAAACAAAAGAAAAAACCAAGTCCAATCCTACAGTTCTTTTTCACTGTTCTAAAAATGTAAAAACATGGTCTAATTACCTGTTCACTTGTTTTATCTTGATACTAACTTTATTTATATTTCCTGGTTATATTAAGACAAATGGATAAATTCTTTACATCAGGATTAACAATTACAAGATTCTCAAGGTTACATTATATGTTTTTGTATGTCTTCCTTTGTGTTTGTGCTGCATCTCCCCTGCATGCATGCTCATGCGTCACGCACACCCCAACATGTTCTCATGAATACATACATGCCTCTCTTTGCTACTGTGTCAGCCTGCAATTAGTAGCAACACTGCATAGATTTTAAAATGATACTTTTGATGGATTAGTGAATTCCCATTAAATATATTTCAATATTTCAGAAAAGAAATTCCTTGATAAAGTTTTAGTATTTGGTTTGATTTTTGTGTTGGAAATCTATGTGAAAATTACTGCTTGCTTGACAAACGTTTCATTTTGGACCCAGTACTGACTTTGGTAGATGGATGTGATTTGAATGAGAGTAAGGCATAGGATTAAATCTATATTTGATATCCAAATAACTTTTATTAGCTATTGTATTTCCCACACTTTGAGAGTTAGAAATGACCTACTTTTTCCATGGAATGTACCACGTTTTATAAATTACTGGTCTTTCAAGGTTGTAATTTTGTTTCAGGATTTGACACAAAGTTTCTTAGCTGCCAAGAAGAGAAACATTAAAAAAAAGATTTTACTTACTTATTTTTAGAGAGAGAGGAATGGAGGGAGAAAGGGAGAGAAACACCAGTGTGGTTGCCTCTCATGCACACCCTCCCCGCCTCCCCCCACTTACCCCCCACCTCCCCGCTCTAGGGACCTGGTCTGCAACCCAGGCATGTGCCCTAACTGGTAACTGAACCCATGACCCTTTGGTTTGCAGGTGGGGGCTCAATCCACTGAGCCACACCAGCCAAGGGAAAGAAACAGTTTTTTGGTTTTTTTTTAATTTTTAAAAAAATTTTTTTAAATTTATTTTTTCAAATACATTTGTCTCTGCCTACCCCCCACCACTTTCCCTTGCCCCCTCCCTCCTTCCCTCCCTCAGCTCTTCCCCTTTGGTTTTGTCCATGAGTCCATAAAGAAACAGTTTTTAAACTCAGTTTTTGCTTACTGGCTTTGTAATTTGTTACTGAGCAACATAGTTTAAGATAGGAGTAAATTGTCAAGGATGGTTGGGATTATATAATGCCATTGCTCCCAGATTTAGTACTGAGGTGCATGTGTGTGGTTGCTGTGTTTCTCACTATCTACTTCTTATGTTGTCATTCTGGTATTTCCTGTGTGTGGGTATCAGAGGCCCAATGATTTATAATTTGACTTTCTTTTCTTTTGGTTTGTCTTGCCATGATCGTATTCTTTTGGGATTTTGGTATCTACATGTTTATATATGTGTTCCTATGTGGCCATGCTGTTTCTCAGAAAGCCAGTCTACTGCAGTTTGTACCTTCCATGTTAGGTTTCCGTCCCTGCACCATCTGGGGATTGGTTTGGGACTTCCCGGGAAAGTGAGTGTTTTGTAAGGCTGCAGTGCTGTACTAACTGAATTGCTACTGCTGCTCTTGTTACTGCTGGGGCTTGCTGGAGATTTGGCTTGATCAGAGTTAAAGAACAGCTAGTTGTATGTCAAGTTTAACTGTACTTCTTAGGTACATTGTGGATCAAGAGTGTACTTCTCTGGTAAGATTCTGATACTGTTCGTTATAATTTTCTTAGTCTTTGTTTCTAGCCCATGTTTATGTGGTCGTTCTTATGCTGGAATGCCCTCTAAGTCCTCTTAGCTGATGCATCTGTGTGCATCACACTTCAGGAAGTAGAATTAATTTCTAAAGGGTGTTCATAAGTGCATAAAGGTAGACTGTTATAATTATTGAACTAAAGAAAATTCTCATTCTTTTAACATTTCCTAATGCGTCTTATGGAAGGATACCCAATATTAAAAGGTTTAGATTACATCATGAAAAATTCTCAGACCTATTCATGGTCTTGAGAAAAATGAATAGTCCTTACACTGCTTTTATAGTAGTTACTATCAGAAGATGACTTAGTAGTGTACCACTGTTTTGACCTACTGCAGTTTTACAAAGATTTTAAAAGACCACCTGTACATCTGCAAATATATTTTTTCCAATTAAATCTAAGAATTACTATTTATACATTCATATTCCATACTGCGGTATATATCAGCTGGATTTCAACTAGAGAGGTAGTCCCAGGAGGAGAGATACGTACATACATGCATGCATACATAAACACATGTACACCATATATATACATTTATTACAAAGAATTGTACAATAGTATGTATATTTATACACATGTATATTTATATATACACACATATATAAAGAGATTTATTTCAAGTAGTTGTCTTGAGTTATTGTTGGAGACTGGCTAAGCAAGTATGAAATCTGTATGGTAAGCTGTCGCGAAGAGAAGATCACTAGCAGGGTAAGCACTCCCATGGGTATGGGCCAAAATTGTGATCTGCAGGCAGAATTTTTTTCTCTCCTAGGAAAACGATTCAGTTACGCTCATTTTCATTATCTGGGATAATCTCCTTAACTTAAATGGATTACAGGCTTTAGTTATATCTGCAAAATACCATCACATCTAGATTAGTGTTTGTTTAAGTAACTGGGCACTGTAGCGTTGAGAAGTTCACACTTCAAGAAAATCACCACTTGGTGATTCGGGATTGTCTTTATAGATCAATTTAAAGGAAATCCCCCCCACAAAAACTAGAACTTGACATGTCCTCATATAAATGGATCAATTTGGAATAGCTTCAGGAACCCTGAATGTAATTGAGAATTTCTCTTCTAAAGAGAAACTATTACAGGGTTTTAAAAAGATTCATAGTGAGTGGGCTTTTCTTTGACATAATATTTAACATATTTAGTGATGTACTAAAATTCTGATAGAATTATGATATTAGCATCTTTTCAGACTCCTAAAAAAATTGTTCATTTTCTACTTTTTCGCTCATGCTGTTCCTTTTACCTAAATACTCATATCATGGCAGTACACTGGGAGAATTATCCTCTATGCCATGTTGTGTTTTGCTTCGTAATATAGAAAAATTAATTTTGTTTGCAGCGGAAACCCTCAGTTTACTCTGAGGGTCATTTAGATTAGATTCAACTTATTTAGAAATTTTTATATGTAGAGAATTGGCAGTCATATGAATTTCATGTCATTTGGCTATCAAGAATTGCCTTTGGTGTATCAAAGTTAGGAATTTTCACTGATCTAAAGAATAATGGGATCTATTATTATATAACCTAATAATTAATAAAAATGTGGATTTATTGTGTTTCTCAATTTGTGGGAATATAAAAATTGGATTTTAATGGATATAGGTTTAGTTTTGGGGTACTTTAAAATTTAGCAGAGGGATTAACAAATGAGAAGAAAAGACATACTTTCTTGTAAGCCTTTAATCTTTGAAAGCCCTGAAGTTCTCTTTATTCTTTTTTTTGAGGATGGGTGGTGTAGGGGGCTTGGTTACTCTTTCTTTAAATATGCATCTCTAAAAACACTGCAGTTGATATTTATAGTTATCAAGCTCTAGAAAATAATACCCAATCTTTGAGTTTAGTTTCTCTTTCAATAACAAGTAAAAATAAAAACATGATTGTAAACAATCAAGATTGGCCTCTTTTTAACTTTGAACATGCATTCCACACTGTTTTATATATATATCAAAGGATCTTGGATTTTTATAGGTAGTAATCTGTAAGCGTCACAGAACATATGAAGCACACCCAGGTGGTATGTCAGTAGACCTATATTCTTATCCTGGATCTACCCTTAATCAGTGTGATTGTGAGGACGTTAATTTTTTAATTTGTTTTTCATTTTTTTATCTTATATAATGGGGATGATAAATCTTATTTCATTATTCTCACAACTTGTAAAAACTCATTTTAA